GTGAACGTTGCTTCGTTCTCTTCTGGCGCGTGAACTATTTTTGGACAGAACTGTCACCGGTGATGAAAAATGGATTCTCTATGCGAATATTAAAAGACAAAAACAATAGCTCAGTCCTAGACAAAAACCACTTCCGACCCTGGACTCCATCAGCAGAAAGTGATGCTTTGCATTTGGTGGGACATCAAAGGGGTAATTCATTTCTAACTCCTCAATCCACAGTGAACTGTCAAAGCAGAGATCTATAGTCAGCAACTGGAACGTTTAAACCAAGCCCTTCACCAGAAACGTCCTTCACTCATCAATCGGAAAGGTGGTTTTCTTCTTCACGACAATGCACGTCCACATGTGGCACGTTTGATGCAACACAAGATTATGGAGTTGGATTGGTAAGTTCTCTCCCACCCACCATATTCTCTAGATATGGCACCATCAGATTACCATCTTTTTCGTTCGCTGCGACACCATCTTAATGGGAAAACGTATGCAAATGTGGAAGGTATTAAAGATGACATCGACATGTTTTTGCTTCAAAGCCAAGTAATTTCTTTAATCAGGGCATTAACAACCTGATTGCAAGATGGAGACTATTTCATTTAATAAATGTTTATATATATGTGTGTATAAGTTGTTCGGGTTTTTTCATCTAAAAAAACATTCTTGACGACCTAATACATACCTCGGACAGAAATGACTCATTGGCCTTCGCTCCGTGTTATAAACTAATACTTAAATAATACAAAATGTGGAGTAATCAGTGAATCCATCTTGTCCCCCCTGAGTCTGAGATGTATTCTGTCTCGCCTGGTCCCTCCCCCCGCCTATCCTGAGTTGTGCATTTCATTCATCTTGTTGAAAAAAACAAAGAAATAAGGTGTTGTTTCAACCAGTCCCAAAAATGCTAAATGCATCTTGTTAATGTATTTGAAAGACCCAAAGGAGTTTTTGTCCTTTACAGTTACCCCTATAACCGTATTAATCATTTGGCCCAAGGGCTCAGAATACAATCGAACTGTGTTCAGATACCTGCATGAGTGTTTTTATTTTACGCCTTCACCAACAAATATTTTTAATGGAGTTTTTATATTTTAAGTGAATTCGGCAATAATTAATTTGTACATATTAAAACAATTACAATCTTTATACGTTTTAGTTTAGCCCCTTCCTTTTAACAATTACAATCTTTATACGTTTTAATTTAGCCCCCTCTCTTAACAATTACAATATTTATACGTTTTAATTTAGCCCCCCTCTTTTTAAGAAAGTGTGGGACTAATGCGATGCATTTTTTTTGTGATGCTTGACTTTTTTTCTATTGATTTTATTGGTTTCAACATATTGATTTTCAGATAGGCGAGTTTTACTATGAATTTGATCTTTAATAAAGTTCGTAATTTAAAAAGTATATAGTGGGTTTGAGTGCCCTTTTTATCAGTCCCAGGAGCCTATGATTGGTTGATCCGGCACTGTCCCCACGTGGTAAATGATGCATCTTATTCAAGAAGTTACAGGTCACCGGACTAATTCCCGTGTTTTTGTGCATGGTTGAGTCACGTAATATATAAAAAAACTTGTGTCTAACAATATCTATAAACCTTATATCGAATATATTTTAAACACCTTATTTTAAAACAACTTCTGAACACCTTATTTTAAAACAATTTCTAAGCGTCTCATGTCAAACAGTTTCTCAAAACGTTGTGTCGAATAATTTCTAAATGCCTTATTTCAAATATTTTCTAAACACTTTATGTCTAAAGTCTACATAAACACTGCTTCCAAAAAAGCAAGAATCGCATAATAGAAGACTTAGAGGCTCACATGGCAGAAAAAGTATTTTGCTACTGAAATGGCAAACGTGCATGAAAAGCTAAAGGGTTATTAGATAGTGTTACGACAGCGGAAGTCACGTGACGCTGGTAACACGTAATGAGTTATAGAAAGATCGGGTAACATCACGAATAATCCAATATTTGCTAGGCGCCCTCTATTCTTGTATATAAGTGCGCCAGACAATGAATCGGAATAGAATAGCGGACAGAGAGATTGAAGATATAGACGGACAATTGAGTCAAGCGCGGTAGTAAGTAAAGTGTGTGAATCGTTCGTTGAGAATTATAGCGTGTGTTTAAGTGACTGTGGAAATTAAGTGTATTGAAAAAGTTGTATTGAGAAAGAATAAACTAGTTTTATTTAAGAAAGGATTTGTATCGCTGAAGTTTCTGGGAAGGAACTTCTACGGGAAATTAACAAACGAACACAGAGACGTAACAATATCATAAAAGAGTCTTATTGCGAGATTACATATTTCCGCATGGAGAGTTTCAGTTCTGGATAGTCGGTATACGCTAATGTATTTCTATAGCTTTTTATATATGTATCTGTGGCTTATTGTCTCAGTCGCAGATTAGTGCTTTCCAAAAATGGAAAGTATTATTGGATATATGATAATTTGTTATATCAGTGAGTAGGAGTTGAACATGTTTTTAAAACATGTATTTATGTTCTTTCTGTTTGACCTACATCACTTACGGAATGTAGTTTCAAATATGAGATTTTAACAAACACAGGTTCTTTACAAGTTTTTCAAAATAATCTAATAGTCTGAGACGTTCATCCATCTAGTTCATATTGTTAACAGGCATTCTACCCCTAATTCTCATATAATTGATATTTATTCTTCTCTCAGCATGCCTTCTACCCCTAATTCTCATGTAATTAATATGTGTTCTTCTCTCAGCATGCATTTTATCCCCTAATTCTCGTATAATTAATACCTTATCTAAGCAGACATTATATTCCCTAATTCTCGTATAATTAATACCTTATCTAAGCAGACATTATATTCCCTAATTCTCGTATAATTAATACATTATCTTAGCAGACATTATATTCCCTAATTCTCGTATAATTAATACCTTATCTTAGCAGACATTATATCCCCTAATTCTCGTATAATTAATACCTTATCTCAGCAGACATTATATTCCCTAATTCTCGTATA